CACCGTAACACAATGAAACTGGAACAGAATATATATATATATATATATATATATATATATATATATATATATATATATATATATATGTGTGTGTGTGTGTGTGTGTGTATGTGTGTGTGTGTACAAAATATCACACCATACCATTAAGTATATACACTATTCTGATTGACAAATATTATATAATACAATCCTTCTAAAGAAGACGTTCAGAATTAATTTATTTATGTCACTGTCAAAACCAAAGCCTAACACAAAAAACTTAATGATTAATTATATGTGGAAGAATCATAAAGAATAGGAAAGGAACTTTGAAAATTAAATTAGTATGTGGAATTGTCAGTTTGTCAGGGGATTTATTTGAGAAGAAGCATTCAGAATTTTAGGTAGAATAATTCATCCTGTATTTTAACCTTGGTGATTGATGAATATTCACTTATTTTGCTTTATAAAATGATGTTTTAGTTTATGTGTTTATGGGGGCATTTACATGTGAGTGCAGGTGCCCAATGAATCCAGAGGCAATGGGTAACTCTACAGCAGAGTAACAGGCAATTCTGAGATACCTAATGTAGGTTCTGGGAAGTAAGCATGAATCCTCTGCCATAGTGTTATACTGAGTTCCACTGGGCCATTTCTTCATACTCCTCACTTGTATTTCTAAGTTGTCACAAGTCATGAACACTCTTGTATTTAGGAGGTGTTTCACAAAGAAAAGAGGAAGCAACAGTAGGATAAAGTGTCAAAAATAATTAAGAGGACAGTCAATGCACAGACAATTCCTGTGTGCTATTTGCTTCAAATGTTTACCACACTTGACACACACTAGTGCCACAGAGAGAAATTAGCTCTTGGTCTATTGGAAACAGAAACTTTGCACACAAATATATGCATATAAATGTGCATGCACATGGACAAACACACACACACACACACACACACACACACACACACACACACGCCAGCAATTCTGTATCCTATCCAACAAACATTACACGGGCTTGGGATTTCTCAGGAGAATAATGGACAGCTTTTCCTTTGAGATTTTTCCTTGTAAACCACCATTGACTGCTTGCATGTCTGATTTAAGTGCTTTCAGCCATGGTTGCTATAGGCAGTTTGAATATTTTGTAGATTATATTCAGAAGAACAATCTTAGAGAAAGTACCTAGTTTAAAAAAATCTGCTTGTAATACTAATATATTAAAAGTTCCCTGATTTTAATATCCTCTGCATGTTTCGTGATCTGGCTTTCCAGGGCTCCTTGGGGCTTTTAGAAACATTTGCTGTCAGAACTGCCATTTAAAGGACCTCTTGGGAATTTCAAAAACATGAGAAACTGGCATAGATGAACAGTACCAAACTCCTGAAGTTATTTCTTTAATTTAAACCATTTTAACATATAAATTCTGTCATAAAAGAAATTTGACTATCTGTTTCCAAATGTTACATTACTTGTACTCTAATGGCATAACTTGAGTGTTCATAGAATTTTCAATTCAAGAAAATTCTTCTTGGCATTGTGTATAATATTTAGACGGGTGCTAAATGCTTGATTGGCTTTTATAAAAGACTCAACAATAAAATCGATCCTTTCAGTGTATGAAAGTGATTAAGTATGGTGCTTAAAAAATGTGTGGTTTACTGGTTCTGTAATTCATGCAGAAAGAGGGGAATAAACTGTGGACCAACAACTTTGGAGTCTCCATGGGACTGGACTAGGCCATTTGCATAGGCAAAACACTTGTGCAGCTTGACCTGCTTAAGGGCCCCCCTAGCAGTGGAATCAGGATCCATCCCTGTTGCATGAGCAGGCGTTTTGGAGCCCAGTACCTATGGTGGGACATCTTACATAACCTTGGTGGGTGCAGAGAATAGGGGATTGGACCTACCTCAAATGAATGTACCAGGCTCTGCTGACTACCCATGAGAACACTTGCTTTGGAGGAAGTGGAAATGGTGGGGGTAGATTGGGGAGGAAGCCTGGGGGGTGGGCAGAAGAAGGGAGGAAAGGGGTATCTGTGGTTGGTATGTAAAATGAATAGAAAATTTATTAATAATAGAAAAGGAATTTACAAATAAAACATTGGCTCTTGTTCTCTACCCCTGTAGCAAACTCATGTGTGTGTGTGTGTGTGTGTGTGTGTGTTTCAAAAATGATAGGAAAAAACCTGAATGTAAGGTATACACATATGTCAACAGAGATAAGTGCTGTTTTGTTTGTGTGATTTTGACACATCTTACTTTATGCAGAAATTAGTCTGTTTATACATGGTCCAGAACATTCAAATAATCACATATAATCAGATGTGCAAGACTGAATTTCAAACATTTTAGCCAAGAATGCTACGCTTGTCTATTATTGCTCAAGTATAAAACTGCATCCATTCCTTAGTGACCACAATAGATTTAAAGCTGGGACTTTGAGTATTTCAGATTATTTTACTTAAAATATGAGTAGTTTTACAAGTGTCATTCAGGGATGGAAGACCCAGGCCATCATTGGTATAATGCAAAATGTGGCCAATCTAGGCTTCCAGCAAATCACAGTAGAGTTATTTGAGGCACAGCCTTATCAGGGACAGAGGTTACAGAAAATTGTATCAACAATCTAGGTCTGGGCAAAATATTAAACCTTCTGTTTTCATTTTAAGTGAGAAATAAATCAGCAAGGCCAGAAAGAACTGTATTTGGCATTTTCTTTGGGCTGCCAACCAGCTCCCAAATAAAGACACAGAAGGCTTATTATTAATTACAAATGCTTGGTCTTAGCTTGGGCTTGTCCCAATAGCTCTTTTAACTCAATTTAAACTGTTTCTATTCATCTACATTTTGCCTTGGGGCTTTTTACCTTTCTTTCATTCTGTATGTCGTCCCACTTTCCTGCCTCCTCTGTGTCTGTCGGGCTGGCTCCTTGTCCTATCATCTCCTTTTCTTTCTCCCCGAAGCCTAAGTTCCTCCTACTACTTATTCTCCTTGTCCAGAAGTTCCATCTATACCACTTGCCTTGCTATTGGCTGCTCATCTTTTTATTAGACCAATCAAGTACCTTAGCCAGGCAAGATAAAACAGCAACACATCATTACATATTTAAACAAGTATTCCACAACATAAACAAATGACAGCACATCTTTGCATAGTATAAAAATATTCCCCAACAAAGAACCATGTACAGATCAATAAGGAAGGAAGGAAGGGTACCATTTAGAAGATAGAGTACAAAGGATTTTCCCTTGAGGCCTGCTTGTTTTCCAGAGGGAGCAGTCTTCTGGCTCAGACTAGTAGAGACCAATTATCAGATACCTGGAAAAAAATTAGAGAAACTTAACAAAATTAATGATATATTACTAATTGTTTTATTCCTGTTGTTGTTTTGGTATAAGACTAAGATAATCACTTGAGCCAGAGGGGAATTTAGATTGTGTGAATCTGGTGTTATAGATTAAACAAGAGGACATTCATGAAGCTTATCTAGTGTTATGGGAAAGAGCTGATCATATGAAGCTAAGTAGTTTTGCAAAACAACAAAATACAAAAACTGATAGAGAGACTCTAACGTTCTAGTGAGTAAACAACATTGTCAGCATGAATAGAAGGCTCCTAGGATTCTGTGGCCTTACTTTAGAAATATTGTAAAAGAAGCACAATAAATAAATCCTGCCCCCGACTTTCCTTCTGGACCAGAGGTGAGTAGCCGGGCCCAACCCGGACCCCATCCCTGGGCACCAGCCACTCTGGGAAGACCTGCCCAACTTGGCCCCAGGTTCTGGCCACCGGGCAGGTCCCCTTCTAGCCCCACTGGGG